CTAGAAAAGTAATCTGACCTTTGTCCCTAACTGCTGTTTCTGCTTCTAATATATTGCCTCTAACTGACCCTTTTGTAGAAGAAGGTGTCCTACAAAATTGTCTCGCCTGTTTCGTATTTATTTTCGTATAGACCTCTGTTCTCTTATTCTTCCTCATATTTCCTCATTTTTAACCTATTCTTTCCACTGTATTTTCAGACATCTATAAAATTTTCTTTTTCGCAGCGCCCACTAATCGTACTTATTTTCTCATCGTCACCATCATCATAATCATAGGGGTCGTTAGTACTGATTGAACACGCACCTCCCTTCTTTCCTACCTTGGCATATCCCTAACTATTTGTGCAAAGTAAATGTAGGTCTAAAATGCCTTTAACTAGCTCTTCATGCGTGACAAAGTATTCAACAAACCTATCTTTTATTGATTTCCATAGGGACCTCTGTTCTCCTACTCTAATATCGTCTCATATCTAACCTATTCTATCCACAGTATTTTGAACATCTTTCTGTAACATCTCAAACACTTTTGAACATTCTTTTCCACAACGCTCACATAATTTGGAGCCGTTCTCCAAACATACACTTAACTGTATATATCTTCTTATCAACGTTGTAGAGGTCAAATATTTATGTGAAATATTAATGTATTAGAGTAGGAGAACAGAGATCACTATGGAAATCAATAAAAGATAGGGTTGTTGGATATTTTGTCAGGCATGAAGAGCTAGTTAGAGGCATTTTAGACTTACATTACTTTGCACAAATAGTTAGGGATATGCCAAGGTAGGAAAGAAGGGAGGTGCGTGTCCAATCGGTACTGACGACCCCTATGATGATGATAATGACGAGAAGATAAGTACGATTAAATGTATGTTTAGAGTATGGCCCCGAATAGAAGTGAAATATTGATAGTGGGCGCTGCGAAAAAGAAAATTTTAGACGTGTCTGAAAATACAGTGGATAGAATAGGTTAAAAATGAGGAAATATGAGGAAGAATAGGAGATCAGAGGTCTATACGAAAATCAATACGAAACAGGCGAGAAAATTTTGTAGGACACCTTCTTCTACATGAAGGGTTACTTAGAGGAAATATATTAGAAGCAGAAATAGCAGTTAGGGGCGAAGGAAGACTTAGATCAGATTACTTTCTTCGTTTTGAGAAATGTGAAGATTAGCTCAAGACATGAAGAAGTGGAGTTGCATGTCCAACCAGTTTTCAGGATGCAGACCTTAGCAACGATTTGTCTTTATAATTAAAGTCTAGAAAGTCTATTCTATCTACAGTATTTTGAACATCTTTCTATAACACCTCATCTCAAACACTTCTAACATTTTCTTTTCCGCTGCGTCCACTGCCCACATTTCATTTCTAGTTGGAGCCATGCTCCAAACATCCACTTAACTGTATTTATCTCCTCATCATCATAGTCATAGGGGTCGTTAGTGCTGACTGGACACGCACTACCCCCCCTTTCCTATCCTGTTTTTGTTTCTAATATGCTAAATTATATAATCTTCATAATAAACAAAACAAAAGCACAAGAAAAATATAAGTGCAGTCTTCTGCTGCACTGTCCAAGTTTCCAATATTCATACGTTCCAGAGAATCATTCCCTAAAATCTATTATTGCTTTATTTTCAAACATATTCATCGGTCAAGAGGACTGCTGTCAGTAATTAAAGTAAAAAACTATTTACACCATTACTAGTAACTACTTCAATACCTGGTTCTAAAGATTTGAAATTCGTTATTCCTAAATTTTCGATTCCTCACAATTTTATTAAAATATTAACAAAACGAAATTTGGTGGAGGGGGGGTTGAAATAAAAAAGTACACCGTGTTCTTAAATATAATCGTTTTTTAGTTGTTTTTTTTTCCTTCAGAATCGCTTCTGATGCCTGCTCATCAGCGAAGTAAAGGCATAAAAGTATAAATAAACGTTTGGCGCTGTGATGTATGTTAGCCATTTATTACACTTATTATACAGATGTCAGAGAGGTGGTCAATGGCAAACCCGAAATCTTTTAAGGACTCGGCCGTCCGTGGCACCTTCCTCTTCTTCGGTTTCTTCGTCCCGTTCGTCTTCACGAAAGTTATTTACGACGTGTTTATACGTGGTCCCACCTAATTAATAAATGACCTGCAATTTTTCTAACAGTTTGAAATTTTTTCGACCCGAGATGGACTTCAAACTTCAAGCCACCAAAAGTTTCCCAATACCTTAATGTTAAGACACTTGTGCAATTCCTAAAGGTAATTCTTAGGAAATGGATTATGAATTACCCGTTTCAAAATAAGGAGTTATTTACGAAAATACGTTTTAATCATGCTTACGTCAGCCGTATGACCATTTGTACCACACACATTTTTAATGAACCTAGAATGTCGGTAATATATGGTACATGGTACAACTTAAGCAAACATTACGTTTTTCCGTATAAATATTGTGCATTTCCGAAAAACTTTTATTAATTACTAACTATATTATTTTCACATAATTGTTGCTCAAAAATTTCTAGAAGGCTTTCTATGCGTTTATTACAGTAAAAGCTCTTTATTCGCGGGGTATACGTTCCATAAATATGCCGCGAATACAGAAACCGTGGATATAAAATGGTAATTAGTATGGAATGGTAGGGGATACGTTCTAAGGTTCTAAAATAAAACCAATATGTATCAAAACAAAATCAATGTATTGATAAATTCGCAATTAAAATTAATCGTTATAATCAGCTTTAGGCAAGAGTTTAATCAAAAGATGCTGATACGTTGAAAAATAACACCGAATCCTCTTCTACTCGGCACGCATCAACTGTAAATATTCAAAAGATGGCGATACATCAAGGGGATTCAGTAGTACACACGCCGTAGAGTAAAACATGCCTATCGGTTGTAGATATCATGAGTTTAGTATTTGGAAAAGAGGTTTGAAATTTTGTAGTAAGATAGATAAAGCTTTGTTCTAAAGCTTGTCGAAGGGCATTTTTTAATTTTTTAATTTCTATTAAAAATACGTATCCTACAGAAAGCATCAACTTTAAGCACTTGTAAAAGCTTTTAATGACCATATTATTGAAAACCAAAAACATACCGAGTTAGTGTGAACCTTTGTCTATTACCATACAAAAAATTAGATATTTATCTCGCAGCGTTAAATTGCAATGTTTAGAGTAGGAACCCATGTTTTCGGAAAAATTCACACTAGGCACGAGCGGTCTATTGCGGTCAATCCCCTAAATAAATGACACCGAATCCTTTTCTGTTAACTGATTGCTACCGAGAATAATGAAATTTTTAACCGCGAATACAGGAACTGAGTTGGAATTTTTTCACCCACAAATAATCAAAACACAAATAAGGAAACCGTGAATAAGGAACTTTTACTGTATTATCATTGTATTTTATTTTCGTGTAATTAAAACATGTATTTCTCATTTTTAAATGAAATTATTGTACTTCGAAGACTGCGGGAGTCCCCTATGTGTACTTTATGATATTAAAACAAGGATTGTAGTAGAAGCAATAACCAATAGATGTCTTCACATTGGGATTCAGGATTTAAAAATTCGAATATTTAAGAAAATAGTGGGAGTCCCCCTATGTATACTT